TTTCTGGTGGGAGGTAGACGAAAACCGGTATAGGTTTAGAGTTGAGTGAATAGATAACCAACAGAATAGCATGAAAGGACACCAAACACAATGAGCATTTCCTGTTGTATTCAAACTATCCTCCCAATAAACATGCATTGATTGCTTTCCTTGCTTTGACTCATCGTACTTTTGGGTTAGTTCGTCACCGTCAGCTTCAGGATGGTCTCTCATGTATTGAGCAGCAAATCTGCCGAATTCTTTCTTTTCAACTTGGTCCATGTTGTCAGGTTATGAGAAAGAAAAGAATGTGTGTTTATATCTTGTTTATGTTCTCCTGTATCATGGGAAAAATCACGTTCTGGAACTATGATTTATGGTGATACAAATATGATCATTCATTTTATGGCGAATAAAATGAACGATGCACGTGATGATGAACTAATACAACCAATAAAATGCGCAAAAATTCTTCGCAACCAATAGGAATGTAGCAAATTTTTGATCAACCCAACAAAACAAATATTTAAATCTAGCTTTTATCGTTATATATAATTAATAAACTTATTTCAGATCACGTGTATCGTACATTTTATTCGTAGGAAACTTAAAGATGCCAATCACGTGACTTGTTCCATTTTTGTTTTCAAAAATTAAATAGAATTTAAATAATTCAAAAATTCAATTTTTGGTTACTTGTCGAAAAATCACGTAATTATTATAAGATACATGTCATATACTAAGTGATTTAATTATAAATAACAATCAATTAGATCATTCTTTGAATTTTATAATTTCAATTTTGTTCTCTATTGAGGCCCTTAAATCTAATGATATATCTATTTTTGGTGTTTATATTATAATCTATCTAAGAAAGATAATTTAAAAATAAAAATAAAATATAAAAAAAAGAAGCAGAATGAAGTTTTGAATTGAAAATTACAGTGAATAAAGAAACGAATTTATAATATAATGCTTGAGGAGAGAGAAAAAAGATAGAATTTGAAAATAATACAGAGATGAAATAAAAAATGAATTGGAAATATTTATTAAAAATTGCAAAATTCAATGAATTTTTAATATTATCATTATTGTGATATATTATATAATTATTTATTAATATATTAGAGCAAAAGATCAATTAGATAAATATAGTATAGAAATTTAATATTTATTTATAATAAAGATAACATTTTAATTAATTGCAATTTGTGGTATTCAATCAGAGAATTACAATTTAATTGTGATTAATTATAACAGTCAATCAGAGAATTACAATCAAGTTATAACCAATTGCAATTTCATTTTTAATTTATAATAATAATATTTCTTTTATATAATGATAATATTTGACAAAGAATAATAATTTAATTAATTTTTAATTTATATTTCTATTGGATAATTAGTTAATATGTAATTTTTAAATTATAATCTTTTTTAGTTTATATTGTTATAGTTAGAGATGGCGCAGCAAGTATGTGACGCTTATTTGTCACCCGTTGCAACACGTTGCAACTCCAAAATTTTATAAGCTGCAACTAGTTGCAACTAGGTGATGCTTTATTTGTCACCATGTTGCAACAGTTGCCGCGCCATCTTTAGTTATAGTATATTTTATTTCTTATATTTTTATTGAACAGTTAATTAGTTTATTTTTTATTAAAAATTTTGTATAATATATTTTATTGGATAATATTTATTTTTAATTTTATTGATTAGTTATTTTTGGATTTATTATTTATATGTATTGTATATTAATGTGACAAATATATTAAATTTTTGATATTTTGAATTATTAATCATTAGAGATATCAAATTATTGATATTTTAAACTATTAATTTTTAGAATAATAAAAATTTTGTTAGTTTAGTATTATAGATATTTAGAGATTTTTGCAATAATCAATTTTATATATAAGTAGCACTTTACTTGATAACTTAAATGTACAATATAATTTTGATAATCTTAATAAGTTAGTTAACAACATCAGGAAATTTCTATACCCGTTGGCAATCGATTTATAACCATGTCCATTGGCAATCAATTATTAACACCCCCATCGTTCACCATCGATAGGGATTATAATCGATTGTCAACGATTAAAATCGATTATAATCGCTGACAATCGATTGCGTTCGAAAATCATCGAAGAACATCGTTAGCAATTGATTGCAACCGCTAGCGATAGAAAACGATGGTGTGTTGATGATCGATTGCCAATGGAAATTGTAAGCAATTAATTGTCAACGAGTTCCGTTCACAATTGATTGCAATCACGATCGATGCCAATTGGTGGGGATGTTGATAATTGATTGCCAATGTATAAGGTAGCTAATCGATTACTAGTAAGAATTGATTGCAATCAATTCCAATCACTATCGTTGCTAATCGGTGAGTTGTTGATGCTCGATTACCAATGTACATGGTTAGCAATCGATTTCCAACGAGAATAGTTTGCAATCGTTTGTAATCATGATCAATGTTAATTGGCGTATAGTTAGTATTCGAATGTAATCATGCTAAAGAATGATTGGTTAGGATGTTAATAATCGATTGCCAATGGGTATTGTTGGAAAGCAGTTTCATTTTGGGTAATACAATCATAATCGATGTTAATCATTGGTT